TTGAATTCGCGCATAAGTTCTTAGAATGATACGCCTATTTTTAACATTCATTCACACCGTGAACATTCGGAGCTATCAGGTGGATTATTGAAAAATATCAGATACGTCACATTACGATTTTCGAGTGTTTAAGGCAGCTCACTTTTATAATAAGACGTAGCAGCAACATTTTTGGTAATTACTACATCTTTTAACTCACGTTGAATACCGTAATGAACATACCCATACCATTAGACGAGTTTCGTCAAGAAACATCACCCGTGCTACTTAAACAAAGTGTTCATTATACTTCTGCCATTCAATAATTTTGTACTCCTTGTTTGGTGTCAGGTAAACCCGTAAGTTCAAAAAATAAATCATGGACAAACATTATGTATTATAAAGTAGTAGAATAAAATTTAAACATTACGTTTTGTGAAAAAAAAGAAGAATAGGCTACCTGAAACAATCGAAGTGTAGAATGTGAACAAGTATTTATGATATTCTTTCAACTACCCTTTCAATAAAAGTTAGCGGCAGTTTGAAGTTAGTTTTAAATAACTGTTCATAAGAAGACGTAATTTGGTCAAATTTCTTTCTCTCTAACAAGGTTTGATAAAATGTATAGTTCTAAATGTTCACTTCTAATTTCTGCAGACATGCAAAGATTCTTAGTCTACAAAACAAAAGTAGCAATATTACTTTTAAAAGAGAGTATATTAACTTTTTTCTGGCTCATTATTTTAGGGTAATTTTAGCCCTTAAAAGAAGTACATTTTTTCCTTGTAAAAAGGGGTATTTTCTCGTTTTATGTTTTCTTTCTCTTTCCTGAAAATATATTTTTATAAAGTGTCTTTTTAAGTGGAATAATTTTCTTTCCTCAACAATCACATTAAAACAAAAATGTATTAAGATTTTGTAATTGTAAGAAATGATAATGCATTCTTGTTGGTGTTTGTTGAATTTCACACAGAGCTACTCAAGGACCATCCATCTTCACTAGCCGCCCCTAATTTTGAAGTGATAGACTAAAGAAAAGGGAGAGTTCATCACCACCAACCACTGCCAACGCTTGGACTACTTTAATCAAATAGTGGGATTTTATCATGCCTTGTGTAAAGCATCTGCGGCCCCATTGTGCAATTTTGTTTTCTGTAATCGGGCGTGAACTACAGAACCTTGGATTCAGAGTCCGGCATGCTAATAAATGGGTCGCGTTCAGCTCATAATACATTGTAAAAATTTATCTAAAGGTAAAACAAAGAAACACATATGAAACATACAATAGGCTGAAATAAGCTACACATTTATTAGGATTATCATATATACAGTATAAAATATTGGTCTCTATTTTGTGCCCAGTCTCCGTTTCGTTTGGTGGCATTTTACTTATTCATACTCTGTTTACAAGTTCTCAAGACCTTCTGTAACAGACGTTTCATTAGCTAATCTTTTGTTTCAGTTTTATCTTGACTAAGATGTCTGAGCTGTTTGAGTGGAACAGTAGAGAAGTAAAAAAGAATATCACAGTATCCTGTTGATTCAATCACATACAAAATGAGAGTATTGACCAATTCTTCTATCCTTATGAATGTGAATCCGATAGGATTTATGTCACCTTGCTCTCTACCAGCGATGAGCAAACAAACTCAAAGACCTAGAACTTATGTTTGTAGTAACAAATTCATAAGATACTGGCCACTGAAGGTCAAACGTGGATTTACGTAGAAATCTGAATTTCGATAGCTAATATTAAAATTATTAAATTGTAAAACCAATAACAAGACTATCAACTATCTATGGCATTTCACAATATGTGGTGGCAGGAAAACCAATAACAAAACTATCAACTAGCTATGACATTTCACAATATATGGTGGAAGGAAAAACAATAACAAAACTATCAACTAGCTATGACATTTAACAATATATGGTGGAAGAAAAACCAAT